TTATTATTATTATTATTATTGATTAATTGATTGATTATGTTATGATTAAGGAATTTAGGCACTAGCAAAAATAACTTTTACTTAATTAACATACATTCTGTATTTTGGAAATTATTTTTATTATTATTATTATTATTATTATTATTTTTATTATTATTATTATTATTATTATTATTATTGATTAATTGATTGATTATGTTATGATTAAGGAATTTAGGCACTAGCAAAAATAACTTTTACTTAATTAACATACAGGCTGTTTTTTTAAATGCCTATTAATTTTGTGTCATGTTGGAAAAAATACGTTTTGGTTAATAAACATAAGTTTGCAAAGAAGCGCCTTTATCATCATTGCAGCAAACTTACAGTACAAGAGAGAAAATGTCATGGCCTGTGTAGGAGGGCTCTCGAATATTCTCTTCGACACTTGGGGGGGACCTTGGAAAGGTTGAGAACCACTGAGGATAGCATTGTGTGCTGATACCGCCCTCTAGTGGACACTCCTTTGTACTATTGTTGTCATAAGGCTTGTGCTTTCCAGAGCCTTGTCTGTGTATTCAACTACATTTCCTCATGGTGCACAGTCATTGTGAAAGTGCTAAGGAATCAGGTTAATTAACAATTTATCCAAGAAATTAATAACACGTTGAAATTGAATACTGAAATTTTACTGGAATGTTGTGGCAGTGCCAGCAAACATATCACTTTGTAAATTACACCAGGCAACCCATTGAAGCGAAGCAGGTGTGAGCCTGGTCAGTACCTCGATGAGAGACCTCCTGGGAAAAACTAAGGTTGCTGCTGGAAGTGGTATTAGTGAGGCTAATTAGGTATTAGGGTGCGCTAGCCCTGCAGTCTGTATGTGTCCTAATACCCCAGTATAGTGACTATAGTTTAGTTACTATATTGTAAAAGGGCACCGTTCTTTGGATGAGACATAAAACAGAGGTCCTGACTCTCAGTGGTCATTAAAAATGGCAGGGCATTTCTCTAAAGGAGTAGGTCATCCTGGCCAAATTCCCCCCTGGCCTTCACCAATCATGGCCTGCTAATAATCCCCATGTACAGTATGAATTGGCTTCATCACTCTCTTCCCTCCCCACTGATAGCTAGTGTGGTGAGCGCAGTAGCACACAATGGCTGCTGTTACATCATCCAGGTGGATACAGCACATTGGTGGTGGAGGAGGGGAGCCTCCATTACCTGTAAAGTGCTTTGAGTTTCCAGAAAAGAGCTATATAAGTGTTCTTATTATTAAGTACCAATAACTTATGTTAAAGAAATGTATTTATCTAGAAAGACTTCATACCTAGTGCTTGTTTTTCCAAATATGGCATTCCAAGACTGATGTGTCACGCCCTCTGGCTCCTTCTCTGTCCTGTCCCTAGTTTCCTGTGCTTTGCTGCCCTTCAGGTGTCTCTCTGTCTGGGGTTATACTGTATATTAACCCGCCACTATGCGTAGGGTCTTTTTCTACTCTCCTGCCATTCCACGGTTCATCCCTTCTGACATCCGTGACAGATAGTTAGTATGACTTACAACTCTGCAGGTGTACCTGGTTTGAGGTTTAGTATCAATAACTACAGTTATTGACTAGACAACACACTCTCTGAACCATCCAGTACACTTTTAGCTTCCTGAACAACACAATCAAAAAGTAAAAACTTGTTTCTGCTCGCTATGGACATGACAAAAACGTTTTGGAGGAGCTCTCCAAAGGGATCACACCGGTGTCCTTGGTACCCCCAAAAGATGTAATGGCCACCCCCGGGCCCTGTGTGGGCGTGGGTGATTCCAGTATTTTGCACAGACACTGATTCCCTGATAGCCTGGTGCATAAAGGAACATATTTGGTATTTACAGAGGTCTCGAGTACAATTGTCTGATATACTCACTGTGCTATAGTTTAGCCTTCCTGTGTAGGATTTGGGTGGAATACAAAAAAACACCTTATTACCTAAACTGTCTTCAAATGTCTCCTCAAGGCTGTCTGTTTTTTGCCTTAGCCCAGCTCAGAACTGAGTTTTATACTGTTAGAAACTGTTCTCTTCAAATGGCAAGCTGATTAATAAGCATTTACTTTTTATAAAAAAAAAATATCTTTAAGCTGATGTGCTTAATATTATCTGATGTATGAAGGATAACATTTACCATGCAGTGATCCCAATCCTGTTGAGGCTTTTGATCAAAGATAAATATAACATGATTTAGTTAGTGCAACATCGCCATGAGTTGCAAAATCAAAAGTAATTTTTAACTGACTAAACTAGTTTAGTTGGCTAGAAGAAGGGGTTGAGTTATCAACTCCTTTGTTGTAACTGGAACACAATGTATTTGATTCAGCAGTTCCTCAAGTGATCAAGAGACTATTGATTAGTTTTGGTTTCTGCAAGAGTGCTAAATAAAGTGTTGAAAGTAAACAGGTCCTGCTGACTCATTTTACTGTGGTGTTTGCTGTAGTTTGGGATGCAAAGACCCTTAGTTTTGAAAACAAAATGTAAATGGTCAATGAGCAGAGAGCTTAAGAATATTAACATGTATACTTCTACTTACAAACATATACAAGTCATTTATACAGTGGATATAAAAAGTCTACACACCCTTAGTGAAATAGCAGGTTTTTTGTGGATGTACTGTAAAGCCAGAAATCAAGATAAATCATGTCAGACATTTTCCATGTGACCTTAATGTGACCTTGCAACCAACAAAATTCAAGAGAAAAACAAATAGATAATTATTAGTAAAAATAACTGCAATGACAAAACCTACAACACCCTGGTTGCATAAGTGTGCACACTCTTCAATAATGGGGGCTGTAGCTGTGTTCAGAGTTAACCAATCACATTCAAAATCATGTCCTACAAGTAAGTAGCATACTTACTGCCATCAATGAACGTGATTCTTTTTGCAGTTGCAACCTACTGGGATAGCCATGGTCCGCAAGGAGCTGACAAAACATCTACAGGATCTTATTGTTGAAAGGTACCAATCAGGAGAGGGGTATTAAAGAATATCAAAGACATTGGATGTACCTTGCAGCACTGTGAAGACTATCTTCAATAAGTGGAGAAAATGTGGCACCACAGGGACATTGCCAAGATCAGGACCACCCTCCAAAGTTGATGACAGAACAAGGAGAAAACTTATCAGGGAGGCTACCAAGAGGCCTACAGCAACATTAAAGGAGCTGCAAGAATTTCTGGCAGGTACTGGTCACTCCTTACATGTGACAACAATCTCCCATATTTTGCACGTCTGGGCTATGGAGTAGGATGGCAAGACGGAAGCCAAAAAAAGAACATCTAAGCCCGTCTAAATTTTGCAAAAAAATACATTCAATCACTCCAAACCATGTGGGAAAATGTCTTATGGTCTAATGAGACAAAGGTTGAACTTTTTTATTTTTTTATTATAAAAGTTGTTTGGCGCAAAGACAACACAGCTCATCGTCCAAAGAACACCATATCTACTGTGAAGCATGGTGGTGGCAGCATCATGCTTTGGGGTGGCTTCTCTTCAGCTGGGACAGGGGCTCTAGTCAAGATAGATGGGATAATGACTAGCTCCAAGTATCAAGATATTTCGGCACAAAACCTGCTGGCCTCTATCAGAAAGCTGAAGATGAAGAGGAATTTCACCTTCCAACATGATAATGACCCAAAGCACACATCAAAGTCAACCAAGGAATGGCTTCAGAAAAGAAAGATCGAAGTCTTGGAATGGCCCAGTCAGAGCCCAGACCTCAATCCCATAGAAAACCTGTGGAATGACCTAAAGAGGGCTGTGCACAGGAGATCCAAAAATACAAAAACATTTGCACACCATGCAAAACAAACTTTTTTATCCCCCAGAGAAAAGTGAAAAAATTGCTGCTTCCTTTTTGTGAATGCAAAAGTGAAAAAATAAAGTAGAAATCTAGCAAGAGAAAACAAGGGTAAGAAATTCAATTGTTTTTATGTCACTAAAGCTTTGCAAAAAGGAAACACCATAGTGACAGAATTATTGCATTTGTGCCTCCAAAGGCTACACATTTAAAAGTTACCAGTGTCCACCTTTCAGCCTTTTTATATGTCATTTTGGCCAAGCAGAGATCTTGGTCAGGGAGCTGACATATTGGCTACAGCTGCACAATGTTGTGTAGGGCGAAAGGTCAGATTCCAGTTCATTGATTTCTATAGCAGGAAAAACTGGGTATATTAATATAATAAAATATCTGAAAGATTATCAATGTCATCAAATATGACATGTATATCTGCAGAACTACATACATATGAATAATTTAAGTTGGAAAAAATGTTGAACTGGGATTGATTAGAACCATTTAAAAAACTGGTCAGACTATGCATCTGCTTTTCATTTTTTTTTAAAATGTAGTAATGAAAAGTAGTGAAATAAATAGAAAGGACTACACAAGGGTTTCCTCAGTATTAAAAATATATGAAGCTGAAGCAAGATAAAATTAAATCAATAATTTATTTATCAAAGTTTTATTATTTTGAAAGCATAATGGTGGATTTGTAATTTCAAGAAATTCAATTGTAAACAGACACTTGTATACACAAAGGGTCTGGAACAAGCTGCCATGCTATGTTGTTGAGGCCAGTGTCTTTGCTGCTTTCAGAAAACAGCTGGGATCTGAGATCTTCAGCTCAGTTAGCTACTAGCAAGTCAACCTGCTAGACTGGACAATTGGCCTCTATTCATTTGTAACCCTTCTTGTGTTCTTATTACAGGGCATCATTATTAATGTTTATCCCTGATCCCTAAACAACAGTCCTTCCAGATTCAGGAGATACTCAATGCATATTAGTGTATCTCTCACATCAAGCAACAAAAGTGCTCCATTGTTTAGTTAGAATGTATTGTATTGATATAAAGCAAAATACATGGCCCCCAAAATGATTGTTCATGTTCACATCTGCTATACAACCATCAATATTCAACATATGTTTAGTGCCATGATGTGAAGTCTTATCACTTGTGGCAAAACATAAATATAATACTGAAGCAATCCATAAAACATTGTACTATACATCTTAAATTGATGATTGGAGCCTTACAATAGAGATAATAATAGAAGAAAGGTTTGATTACATAATCTGATCATATTTCACTATTGGAAAACTGGCAGCATTAATAGAATGCATTATAAACATTTAATAGCTCTATTCCATGCTGAAAAGAGAAGAAAGAAAACACTATTTCAACCATGGAGCCTTCTTCATTGTCCAATTCACATACAGCACTATATTTCAGCACACATATTAAGATTCTTTTAGTTTGCATGTCATTTTCATTGCTAAACATTTAAATTCTAGGGAGGGATTTCCAATGAACTATTTAAACTATGACTTGGTCGTCTCATATACACACAAGTGTCTTCATCCTCTTCCTCATCTTCTGAGTCTGCACAGTAAGTCTGCGCAGGGCCCTTGCTGGGCTCTGTATTGGGCTCCTGTGTGCCCCAGTCCACAGCCTCCACTCTCACAGGGGACTGTATCAGTTCATCCTCCAGCTGCTGTTCCTGATCCTCAATTGCTCCAGCTTGGAAAGTCATTGAGAATGCCTCGTCCTGGCTTCCCAGCTTCACCGAAAACAGGTTGACAGCTAGAGAGATTTCTGCCTCCTCTCTGGAATCCTTACACTCTGTTTCAGGTTTCTGAGTTTCTAGACCAGACTGGCCTAGAGGCTCTGAGATTTCAGCTTTGGACACATCCGGAGATGACTTGTGTATGGAGTAACCCAAGTTTGTGGCCCCAGCTACATTCACACAAGGGTACTGAAAGCAGCAGCCTGGCTCAGCGCCTTGTCCAGAGTCATCATTTGTCTCTGCTAGGATAGACTTTATATCAGATTCAGGCCCATTGCTTGTGTTTGTACAAGCAGAAAAACCACCCTTTCGGTTTTCATACCCATCATACCCCTCGTCTGTATCCTCACTGTCACTGGATTCCCCCAGATTCTGATTTATTTTATCCTTCTTTTCTAGGCTGGAGTAAAAGGTTACAAAACTTATAGAGTGCTGCTCTGCTGTGAAGAACATCTGAATGATGTCAGAGTGGTCCTGTCCCTTAAATGAGGCCTGTGAAAAGAGTAGAAAAAAATTGGTTTTCCCATCAAATTGGGCTGGCTTGCAAGACTAGTTTTAACAGTTACATTCCCAAACTACTGATTATCCTCTTGATTATAATCTCCAAATTTGAAATCATCATTTGTTAGTCATCTTGTCCACAATTTATCAGAGCTTTTCATTCAAAAAGCTGAAAATTACACTTAAAACATCACCCAGTACTTAGCTAGTTGACACATACCAGCTATTCTGCGTCAGTCACCCCACTGCATGGCAGATCAGGGTGAGAAGTAAGAAATTGTTTCACCAGTTGAATTAAGGGGTCATTTTGATAGAGGTGATGATACAAGTCAAGAGATTAGCCAGGAACCAAGCTGTAATACCTCTAGTATAAAAACAGGGCTCATAAAATACATTCAACAAGTAGTTTTAATGGCAGGATTTTAAAATAAAAAAATACACAAATGGCCCTGCAAGACAGACTACTGAGAATAACAGTAGACAGAAGATCAAATAGATATCGGGGAGCCAAACTATTGAAGGAATTAGGAGTCATAAAAACACTGTTAAAATCAATATGAGACTTAATACATAAATATAGTTAAATAACTGAGAATGTGTCGATTTGATCACCCTGAGACCTCTGAATGAGCTCTAGATTCTGGCTACTGAATTTTGCAGGGTGTATTAAGACTTGTGTAAAACGTGTAAACAATAAATCATTAATGAAAAAAAATCACAGAAAGCCACTGCTGAAAACCAGCTGGACATCTTGAATGGAAGAAGATGTCTGTTGTAATACATGCCCTTACCAGCACCCAAGGGTGACGAGTCTTGCAGATGCAGCAGACGTACATCAAGGCAGACACAGTCACTCCACAGAGAACCAGAGCAATGGGCAGAGTACCCAGAACGTACGGACCTGGCAGTAGAACAACATATTTTTTAGTTCAGCATTTATTCTCAAACTAGATAGTTTATATAAACATGATATTGTTCTTCAGTACCATATTTCCAAGATTCCAACAAGATACTAATCCATCCATTTTTTAACTGCTTTATCCAATACAGGGTCTAGGGGGCGCCAAACCTGGCAAACAATAGCTGCAAGATAGGGCACACCCTGGGCGGCGCCAGTCCATCGCAGCGCACACACAGGCACAAACAGACACACACAAACTCACACTAGGGCCAATATTTCCTATGAATAACCTTATTAATCTACCAGTATGTCTTTGTACTGTGGGAGGAAACTGGAGCACCTGGAGGAAACCCACAAGAACACAGGAAGAGCACACAACCACCACGCACATAGTGCCCCAGGGGTCCAGCTCAGTGAGGAGCAATCCTAACCACTGCGCCCACTGTGCCGCCCCAAGGTGCTAATGAAAAACATTAATACTGATATAATTAAACGGTATTTGGAAACCAGAGGTGTACCAGCATGATTTTAGTCACAGAAAAACAGGAACAATTCAACAAGCACACAAATGTGGTACATTTAGGAAACAATCCGGCATCTGCATTCCAGTTACACAGTGGGATTTCAAACAAATACGTAGTGTCACAACCCTGGTCTAATTGGTGTCTAGTCTCTTGGCAGTAAAATTGATGACAAGAAGCCATGCCAGGATCTGAAGTGAGATGTTTTTGTTCCCTGATTTTCTGTGCCTAAGGGTTGTCCCCACTTACTCTGACGATATTTGTTCTACTCACTTTCATTTTTATGCAATGCGATGCTATTGGTGATTATGGATTTTCTTATAAACTTGTATTTTGTATTTTGTTTTGGTCATCATGATGCAATATTATTGCATTAACCAAATTACTTTTGGTTGTCTAGGGTGTATCCTGCCTTGTGCCCATTGCTTGCCAGGATAGGCTCTGGCTACTCTGCAACCCTCTACTGGATAAGTGGTTAGAAAATGGATGGATCTTGGTTATTCCTACCTGTGTATTTTTGCACTGTTATCATTTTTCAATGTCACAATTTCACTTGGCATAGACAAAAACACAGATGGAATCCTTTTCATTTACAGAAATGCCATTACTCTTGATATTGTGGAAAAACATTTGGAATAGTCCTAAAAGAAGCCTATCAAATTTTCTTCAGTATAGGACAGGAAAACAACCTTACCTTTGCTTGGCTCCTTGGAACCCGTGAATTCACAATGCCAACCTGAATACAAGGTGTTTTGATTTAAGGTAGTCTTCATTTTCACTTTTAAGCAGTATTGGGCAGCAGGCTCCAACTGGCTAATTTTGTATGTAGAATCTGCATTATTGGTAAATTCAATTTCACTTTCCTGAAAAATAAAAGCATCCATCACAATAATAATTATTCATTAGAATGTAAAGCATGCCATCTATTTATTTAGAAATTAGAAGTGATATACATATCCATATTCTTGAACTTTTTAGACATAAAACATAATTCGACCTTCATGAAAGTCTTAATAAAAGATGTAGACAACCTGATTAGTTATAACACAAAAACATTACATATATTTCAATTATTTTATTAACAAAATTACCCAACTGTAAGTTTCCCCTGGTGAAGTATGTAAACACATAGATACAGTTACTGTTGGTACGTCCTTCAGCAAAAATGATTTCAACTAGACAATTCCTTTAAGTGCTTATCAGTCATTTGCACTGTTTTTCTGGAATTTTGCCCCATTGATCCTTTACACAACTGATTTAAGTTGGTGGCATTTTGAGGGTTTCCTATCATGCAAGGTCTGCTTCAGGGCCTGCCATAACGTTTCAGTGGGATTTAGGCTTAAACTTTTTTACTTGGCCAAAAATGCAATATACAAATAATTTCTCATTGCAAACACAAATTTCAACTGTTGACTTGCACTTCGGTGGCCAAGAAGTGCAAACCACAAAATCAAAAACTGAGAGTGCACAAACAAAAAAATGACAACACAAACAAAAATGGGTGCACAAATTAAAATGTGTTCAAAATGGAAACAGGTTCTTACAACAGACATGACATCTTGTTGTTGGGTGAGAGAGCAGTGCTGGGTGGAGTGCACGTATTGAATTCTTGATGAGACGCTTTTGTGAATTTTCAAAAATCTTCAAAAACATAATGTCAGTAGGATGTTCTGTGCTTTTTTGTGGAGGGCAACTTGGTGAAAACCATTCGGGAAATACGTAGGAATTCTTCTCCATGAAAACTTTGAAAAGGCTTCAGGGAGCAATCATGCGATTTCAGGTTGTTGTGGAGGTGTGTTATAATCCGCAACAATATCTATTGAAATATTCTACAATAAATAGTGTGGAAGTATTTCACAACCTTTCATTTTTCTGCTAGATCAAGGAAAAACCTTTACATTTTGCCAGTCATACATTTCAGAGACCAGAAGCAACAGGAAAGATGTCCGTGGTCTACATCCAACAAGAAGATATCTGTTCATCTGGTTTGAACGCATTTTTATTTGTGCACTCTTTTTTGTGTTGTGTCATTTTTTGTTGGTGCACTCTTTTTATGTCGTTTTTTCGTTTGTTTACTCATTTTGTGTGTACACTCATTTTTGTTTTTGTGTTTTGCACTTCTAGGCCACCGTAGGAATGGGACCCAGACTTCCGTATGTATGTTGCATAATAAAGTTAAGCTATTTCGTATTTTGATTGTGATGCTTAAAGGGCACTAAAGACCCCAACTGCTTGAACAATTTCTGACAATTTAGTTTGACATGCCAAGTGCACAGGAATTATGAACTCCGTTCATGGCAAATGTGTACTGCATATAATTAGAGCTTGACATTTTTTTACATAAACTTAAAAACAAAGGATGTCAAAAAGCCTGATAAAGTTTAGTTATCAGTCTTTACTTTGCCCCTCTTTACAATACTGGTTCTTTTATTTTACTGACTTATTTCTCCACTGAAACTAAACAAAACCTCCATTAATGTCTAAAACATACAATTTAAAATAGCCTGTAAAGTTTAAATAATTCAATTTACCTGACTTTTTCCATGTTTTTTCAATTTAACTGTAAAATTAATTTCTACATAAATGTCTTCCAAAGATGATGTTTTAAAGATCACTTCTCTGGGAATATTTATTTCAAGTAAAAGACAGTCTCCACAGCCCGTAAGAGATACATCCGGCGGACCCAGGATAGCTAGAGTGCACAAGCAAAGTGTTAATCAAGTGCATATCATTGCTACATTCACATAAAACCTACCTTACAACATTGATGTATTAAGTGAAGAAATCTTTTGGGTTTTTCACTTCTTAATTGCTTACATTTTTTACAATATAAAGTAGGAGGTCTTAAATAACAAAGCATTTGATCCATCTTGTTATCTGATGTAGCTTCTTGGGGATCTTGCCAAATTAGCTTTCTCAGCTTGGTTCAAAAGTTTCTTAAAGAAATGTTCTTATCTAAAAACAATTTAATTTGAGTGCCCCATTCATAATATATTTGCTGTAAAAAAAGTGGTTATTTGTTTGAGACCGCATTTTTGCTCTTATTATGTGTGTGTTGTTCTTTCTAACCTTCAGAGGAGTCAGAAACTTCCAACTAATTAAACATGTTAAATCTTGATAGTCTGTTTGCATGTGCTAAGCCTCTGGTCATAAGAACAGAAAGAGGTCACCTCCCCAGCTATGTTCTCCTATAAAATCTGAATTTCAATATGGAAGTCAATTCATAGGCAATTGCATACTGTTATGTGGTTAGCTACAGTCTCAATGAGACATACTTACTCTGTGACAGGGGCTGGAAGACATTGCTTACAGTCCAGTTAGATGTCTGTCTCGAACTAAAGGCTTGAACACCAAATTTATAGAAATCGTTGAGATCTCTTAAATGGCTAGTCAGGTTAAACATGGTCTTCCTGGTAGTGTTCTTTAATATTCTGGTAAGCTGCTGCCTGTGAAAAAAATACATTTGGGTTGTCACTGTTCACATATGGCAGCACAGAGGAAAGCAAGTTGAATAATAAAAGGTTGGAGGAACTTAGTGTACGTTTCAACATTATGAATGGTACACAAGAATAAAATATTGCCACAAAAGGTGAAAAAGATGTTTGGGAGAGAAGATATCCTACTGGACATGACTCTGGGCCTTCAAGGCTCTTCTGCTTTGTAGTCAAGTCCAAGTGTTAATTGTGTGACTATTAGGCTTTCAAGACCACCACAGTAGACCTGTAACTGTACTTTCTCCTAAGACAGTATGAGAGGCATAATAGCAGAGAGACGTTTCAGAACATACCCGGCTATCATCTTCACTCTGTAACGCACTCCTGCCGGAGTGCCTTCTCCTGGTCCCCATTTTAGGATGTACTTAAAGTCGTAAGACTCAATTGCCACATTGACAGGAGCTGGGAAAGCACAGCAAACTGAAAAACAGATGAATTAATTTATCATTCACTGTGGTTTATTTCAAGGCGAAGACAATTCAGTAATAAACTATTCTCAACTTACCTTGGCCAAATTAAACAGACGGGCCAATCTGCTGTCAGTAGTTGACTGTAATTACCCATGCAAACAGAATCTAGTTGTTTTTTTTTGCCACCAGCACTGGCTGGGCTTGAGGTGGTCAGAGGATTGTTGGATAGTAATGAATCTTGTGACTTATTCATGACCTGTGATGGTTGCAGTTTTATGTACAGGTTTTATGTACAGAAAAGCATGCCTGTTTTTCTGTGCCAGCAGCCCCACTACACAGCAGATCAGGTGGAGTAGTGAGAAAGTGCTTTGCCAAATGAATGAAAGGGGATCTTGAGGGAGGCGTGACTGTCAGCAGGGTCAGTGCACTCCTGCATTTGATGTTGACTCTGAGGAGGCTTGTTGTGAAAACAAAAAAAAGAGAAGTAGCAGCACATATTTCAGAGGGCAGCACCAGAGATCCTGGCCCATTCTGTGTACAGGAATAACAGCATTAATCGGGGTTGACTGACCAACCACCAACATAACACATTTGCATGTAGGTAGTATAAAGGCAAATGGCACTTCAAACCATCCTCAGTTTAATTAATAAATCTTAAGAGCTCAGCCGGAATGAAAACTGGGTGTACTGGAATACTGCAATTACAGAACAGCCCATGGCTCTTCCAGTCAACTTGATTGTACAATTTTACTAGAATACTTTATTTATTTGACAATTTACCAGTATAATAATTGAACCAGTAGATATTAGTGAATGATATTAGTGAAGTCTTGTAATGGAGCATTAGTTGTACCTAAATAACCTGGCCAGGGAGATACTAAGGTCATAATTTTTTCTGCTTAATTATAGATCACATTCTATTATACCTGATTCATACCCGTGATGAGAAATTATTTACTCAAGAAAGGAGAACAGATCCTTGTGTGCATGTTGTACACAGAGCAATTCCTTGCTGGCCTGAGCCCCTGGGAATGGAGCAGAAGTGGAAACTTTATAAACATTCTGAGAGCATAATTCCACAGGTGATGGGGATTCCTCTCCACCACCAATGTGCAGCCCCACCTGGATGAGTCATAGTGCACCAGTACGCTCACCACACACCAGCTATCAGTGGGGACGAAAAAACAGTGATGAAGCCAGTTCATAGATGGAGATTATGGCAAAGGCCAGGACACCACGTTTAACAGCCCTGGGTGAGTGCTTCCTGTCACTGTTAGACTACCACCTCTTCCAGCAGCAACCTTAGTTTTCCCCAGAAGGTGTCCGATCCAGGTGCTGGCCAGGCTCACACCTGCTTAGCTTCAGTGGGTTGCCAATTGTGAGTTGCAGAATGATTATAGCTGCTAGTTATACAGTATGTTAAAGACAATCTTCTTGGTATAATAAAGAAATGTAATATTTACCCAGTGCACACAGCTGCATTAAATAAATTAAATTGATTAAATATCTCATCTTTTCAGAAGATCTTGCAGTTGCTTGTATTTTCTTCCATTTTGTAGCCCTAGACGAAAAAAGAAATACAGAAGTGCAAGTACCCACCAAAAATTGTAATGAAAATTAAAAATAAGGTTCTGAAGGAGCCACACACATCTGTTGCCACATTTCTTTTTAAAAAGGGAAGTAACACATTCACACCAATATTTTCCTCTTCTTCAGGTTTGACTATTCAAAATCCAAGGTAATTGTTTCTTTTAGTCCAGATCTTTAAATTGTTTTTGTGTGTGTGTTATCTGTCCATGGTGTGGTCCCACTTTGTACCCTGTACCTCTGAGTTGCTATGATCTGTACAATGACCCAAATAAGCAGACTCATGTGTTTGCAAAGTGAAAAAAGTCCAGCACATGATGGATATGTAAAATCGGATAATTACTGTAAACCTTTCCTAACTATAATTGCCCTCCGTTATATTTGTATGTACTAAATAAAAAATATCATTGGCAATGGAGCTCATACAGTATGTGCTCCTCAATACCTTGCTATAAATCAAATTTACTAACAGGGCTTTCACAGAAAATCTTTTTTTTTTCGTGGACAAAAGCAAAGGTCTTTAATTCAAAATACTGTATGTTCATGTTTTAGCGAGCCCAAAACTTTAGAACTGAATATATAAGTAACATGTCCATAAATGTCTTCATTTAAAATTTAAATTTTATCTTAATCAAAGATAAAAATCTTAATTTAAAATTCATAACTCTTACTGTACCACAATTTCAGTGGTGCATGTTACTAAAGTAAAAGCTTTATACCAAATCGAGAAAGGACGCTGCCCTGGCCTTAAAGGCAAAACTAGGTAAGCGCAGACTAGATGTAAGACAAAAATATTCGTTCCACCTTTAATTATTATTTTTTTAACTGTCATTAACATCTTATGAAGCTTATTGGTTTTGATATTCTTTCTTTTTAAAATCAAGTGTAGGAAACCGTCTGGGCTGTGTAGCGAAACACCGCGAAATATCACATTACAAAACTTGTTTTCTGTTAACATGTTAAACAGTTAACAAACATTGCCCATCTGTAACAATTTTGGATTAAAGTATCTGCATCTGCATTAGGGACTGTTCTGAAGTGTGATTAGTTAACTCGTAATGTCAACGTCTACAAAGAATATGGCTAAAGTCCAAAACGCAATTTTACTTACAGTAAGTGTTAAAATATTGATTTACCTTTCCCGGGAGTCCAGAAGTTCACACGGAAGTCAAGTTCATTCTTCACAGGCACAGACAATAGCAGCACATGAAATATGAAACATGTCTGTACAACCACCCCACACTGTATAAAACAAGGAATCGAAAACAGAAATGTCTAGTTGTCGGCTTCTTTTCTTGTAAACTGACATTCACACTATACAGGTGCACCTCTCCTGCTCCAATAAATTTACGTTTTTCCGGACATACCCTGCTAGACGACCTGCTGATTTCCAAGAAGCCCTCTGGATCACGTGATTTCCCCAGTCTAAGGCTTGATGTCTGACGAAGTATGTGGCAGCGAGCAGTTTCCGCCTTTTATTTACCAGCGACTGGACGAAATCGCAGTGTATGTACTGAGCATCAAAAGAAACATTACTGGACTTCGAAAAGCAAAATATTCGAATATGGAGTAGTGATTAAATGTTTTGGCGTTATTTTATTAAATAATCATTAATGACTTACTGTAATAGTGTCTAATGTGTTTGCACAAAGACGAAATTCCTTCTTTAGTGAGTTAAGTGGACACAGGGGATGAGGCGACTTATATTCCCTACATCTTCATCTTCATCAAGAGGCTAGGATGTAGAAGCAACACCTCTGCTGGACTTGCCTGCCCTCTTTAGAGATGAATTACGGATTTGTGTTGATCACCTTGACAGGTGTGAATGAGTGTGGTGCTGACGTTCAGTACAATACGGTAATTACAACAGGCCTGTAGATGGGGACCAGACATTGCTACATTGATTATGGATTGGGCTCATCTTGATGTGACAATATTCCTCCAGACAGGGGTGTCCATCAGCATACAATTCCTTCCTGAAGGGCCTAGTATCGCCAGTATTTCTTCCAACCAGTGCCATAAATTAAATCAATGAACCTAATTATTTTCTTAGACATATGCAGTGTGTTACTTAACATTGTTTTTCAGTTGATAACTCCAATACCAAAATACCAAAGAGCCAAGCTTCAGGTGTTATGGTTATGCAGTTAATTAAATGTGTTAGAAGAGTATGTGACTCAAATCATTAAAAAAAAGTGTAGGAACTCAATCAGAATTGCCAACATGTAAAAAATCAAATAGTCTGATATGTCAGTATGGTATACCAGACAGAACCAGACCAACTGCAAGCATTGTCTTTGATGTTGTCTGGTATTTAGGGCTTAGAGACTAGTGAACAGCTCAGGCTTGCCCAGGCACTATGAGAGAATCCAACAAAACAGCATCTGAATCTCTTGAGAAGTATTGCAGATTTCACATTGCATTGCAGTGCCAGATTGCGTGTATTGTGGTGGCAGTGGCCTTTCACTGTAGAGCCCATGCTGATTTACCTTGTGGATGTCAGATATTAATCAATATAATGAATATACCTGTCACGTCTGTTCAATAAAATGTCAATGCCCTTGCTAAAAAAGGGTCTTTCCTTAAATAATCAGCAAATAACTCAACTTTGTGAAAGTTTGTTTTGATGCTCAATTATTTGAATGCATTTCAATTACTGTGTTCCTCCAAGGGAGAAATTCATATCTGCCTGACGACTTCCTCGCATGCACCACCAAGGGAAATGTATACAGTACATGGCAGGCCTTTTGGGTAAGCTTAATTCTAGCAGTTTGTACACACAGTGTGTAATTATAAGGACTGAACAAGATTCAGAAAATATCTTAGGTTAATGAGTGTAATTTTGCACTTCAAATGATGTCTAAACTTTTTAATTTAACACACTGGTTTAATCATGTTAAAGTATGATTTTTCTATTTTTTTATTAATGATCTAAGGCTGAGTTTGAACATGTATGGAAAAAGGATACCGATGGAGTCTGGTCTATGCTGGTGGATTTTTATTCCCTTTTTATTAAGGGAAATTAAGTAAGCTCATAGACATAGAGTAAAAGAACACTAAGCAGACATGACAATTATTTCAAAACAGCCATATAACTCAGTACATTGACACAATTGATCACCATGCAGTGCACTATTTTTAAAACGAAGAGTAAAAAACGAGAAAAAACACAGAAAAAGTCCAAGATAAGAAGTCTCCGAATGGTTTGGAGCTTTTCACTGCGCCGATGGGTAAAAAGGATCTCTTAAACCTCTTTGTGGTTTGTCAGGGAGCTAAAAAAGACCATTAAATAGGTTTTTTTTATCCAAATCACTGTGTGGAGAGGATGCCACACATTCCCCACTATACTGTACATGTGGCATTCTTCAGGATCCAATTTATTTTCTTCCACAGCTTCAAATGGCCCTACAAAGATTATAAGAACTAAGCTTCCTAAGGAAAACAATTCTTGACTGGCCCAATTTACACACAATCCAAATTTGTGCCCCAGTCCAAGTTCTTACCATAGGACTCTGCAATCTCTTC